ATGGCTGTGAAACTGGACATGGCAAAAGCATATGACAGGGTGGAATGGTGTTTTATTGCAAGGGTTTGTAGAAAAATGTGTTTCTGTTCTACATTTATATCATGGGTTCTGGCTTGTGTGTGTTCAGCCTCATATTCCTTCAATATTGATGGGTCTCCTTTGGGTTTTGTCCAACCAACTAGAGGTTTAAGACAAGGAGACCCTTTGTCTCCTTATTTATTCATTTTGGTGTCAGAAGCTTTTTCCTCTTTAAGTCAGCAAGCTTGTATTTCTGGTCAATATCAAGGTCTTAGAATTGGTCCTCATGCTCCTAGTATTTCTCACCTATTTTTTGCAAATGATTCTTTGTTGTTTTGCAAGGCTGATATGCATCATGCTACTCTTCTAGTTTCTAATTTGGCTCAGTATGGGAATGACTCGGGTCAGTTAGTTAATTTTGATAAATCTTCTATCTTTTTTTCCAAAAATGTGCAAGAGGATCACTGTAGTAGTATCTGTAATACTCTGGCTGGGATTTCAAGACTTTCTTCTTCTAAATACCTTGGTCTTCCTTTAGGCATTGGTAGGAATAAGAGAGAGACCTTCAATTTTTTATGTGAGTGTGTTTTGAACAAAATCAAAAACTGGAAAAATAAATTTTTGAGTGAGAGTGGTAAGGAAGTGTTGATCAAAGCAGTCTTGAATGCTCTCCACTTATATAATGTCCTGTTTTAAAGTGCCAGTGACTATTGTTAAAAAACTTTGTCAGGACATTGCAGACTTTTGGTGGGGTTTCAATGAGAGAGGGGGAAAAGAATTCATTGGGCTGGGTGGGATAAGTTGGTGAGAGATAAGGACAAAGGGGGTTTGAGTTTTAAGTATCTTATTTCCTTTCATGATGCTCTACTAGTGAAGCAACTTTGGAGATTCATTACCCAACCAATTTTGCTTGTTAGTAGAGTCATTAAGGGCAGATATTTTTGCAGGATAGTTTATTTTCTGTGACAGCAAAGCCTCAGGATTCCTGGATCTGGAAATGTCTATTGATTGTTAGGAAATTTTTGCTTGGGGGTGCCAGGTTTAGAGTAGGGGATGGTTTATCTATTTCTGTATGGAATTCTCCTTGGATTCCAGATTGCTCTCATTTTAAACCTGTTTGTCACTTTTTTGATGATAGGATTAGGCTGGAAAGGGTGAGTGATTTGATGAGAGGGGGTAGTAGAGACTGGGATCTTGAGTTGATCTATCAAACTTTTCATCCAGATGTAGCAAAAACTATTATTAATATTCCATTTCTGACTCTGTTGGGCCTGATAAGATGATTTGGCATTGGCACCCCAAAGGTCAATTCTCAGTTAAGGAAATCTACAGGTTCATTTTGAAATAGAAAACAAACACTCAAGGGGTGGCTAGCTCTAGCGTGGATCCTACACTCATATCAAAGATGTGGAAGGCAACTTGGCAATTGAATATCAAGCATAAGATCAAGAACTTTTTGTGGAGGTGCTGGTTTGGATATTTGAGTTCAAATGATCAACTTCTGAAGAGAAGTATGGCTGTTGACTCTATCTGTGTTATATGTGGAGAGTGTGAGGAGGATTTGAATCACATTTTGTTTAAATGTCAGAGAGCTAAAAATTGTTGGAAATTGTGTGGGATTAGCTGGTGTTCTCAGCATGCAGATTATGTAGTGCTTCAGAATTGGTGGCTTCATATTTGTTGTGCTAACACTTTGGTGATGAAAGAAGACAGACTAGGGCTATCTGCTTTTTTGTTGTGGCATTTGTGGAAGGCCAGGAACAAGTGGTTGTATAAAGGGGACTGGATACATGGCCTTCAGATTGTAGAAGAGGCAAAATCTGAGTGGATGGAGTGGGTAGCAATCAAATCTGCTAGTGTAATTCAGACCAGGGGACAACTACATGAAAACCTCCAACTGGATGAATTTTCCAAGGAAGTAGGTCGGTCAGTGATGACTCTCGGTGCTTCAACATCCACAGGTGGAGAGTTTTTTGTGGAGTTCACTATGTATCAGCAAGGGTTACAACATTTTCAATGGCAGGAAACCTTCCCAAGAGTTGTGCAAGAAACTGAAGGATGGCTTAGGGCTATTGTTTGGGGTTTGTCAAAGGCTAAGAGCAACAACTGCAATAGCTTCTCACTTCTGCTTCATTCTGTTGATTTAGTTGCGTATGTTTCTAGCAGTTTAGTTATATAAGGCTGGGACCTGTTCAGATTTGTCTAAGATTAGGGAACTAATTATGCATTGTAATGTTTTTATTGGTACTTGTTTTTAGATTGTGGGTATTTGGATTTGTTGGCTTGTTGCCTTTTAGATCTAGGTTTTACCTAGGTCATGCTGTTTAGCTTCTGCATTTGTAGAGGTTGTAAGACTGTAACTATTTGGTTACCGGATATGATTTTAAGTTTTTATGAAGTTGGTTGTTTGCCTTTGGAAAATAAAAAAATAAAAAAATACTCGGTTGCCCAATTTTGATTCTTTTGCCTTTTGGTCCTTTTGCTTTCTTTGCTTTCATCATCGCAAGTCCCCCTTTCCTTCCTTCACACCTCTNAAAAAAAAAAAAAAGTAAATAAATAAAAGATCTGAGTGCGTATGTGACCAAACCACGTAAAGAAGAACAACCACCTCTTTATGATTTTCTTTTCTGTCAAAAGTTCAACTTATAGTACTCAAAACATCAAATTCAAACACTTGCACAATTGGGTCCATTAATCATTTTTCTTCTCTGGTGGGCCCATATTCATCCATACTTATTGCTCTCACTCATTGAGACCTTTGAAAATCAAATTGCGTAAATTTAGCATATCCTTAAGGTGGAAAATGAAATTAATCAATATCAGTTTTAATTGCCAATGCACCAATACTATAGTTATTAACTCGGTTTTCACTGGAGAAAAAAAAAATTGTTAATATTAGAGACAACGAGGCTGGTGCTACTCATCTAATCATCAAATTCACATATTTTCATAATTAAATTTCATCCATTGAGAATTAAATAAGAATAAGATAATTCAGAATATATTAATGCATTTTTTTTTAAAAAAAAAATTATGACTTAATGTTTTAATTGGCTCACTATTCATTTTGTGTTTTATGGGCGATTGAAAAAATCAATATAACACTTAATCTTTT